CCATTTTTTTTTTATTGAGATTCAGGAGTGTAGGATTCTTGGAAAATTATGAATTTAAATGGAGCACTATTCACTGAAGAAAGAGTATCCATTCCAACTTCATTACGAAGAAGGAAAAAATTTAAACGATTCAAAACTCTACGGTGTCCTTTCCTAACCTGGAGAATGGTTAGACATGGAGTACGGATATCGGATTGTTTCTTTAAAAACTGGTAAGCATTTTCTCAATGAAGACAATTATTGAATGAAGCACTGCTCACATGAACTGGACATAAAGATACACACATCAGGGTGTTTGGAGGTGACCTTTGAAAACCCTACCCAATGCCTGTAAAATATGGAAAAAATGCTCCTATATCTGAATTTGTGATCTTGGATAAATAACAATGGACAAAATGGAAATGCTCATGTGCATCATGTGCATGGAGGAGAGGGGGCATCACACATGAGATCTAGGGTATAACAGAAATAAAAACTCCTTTGCTCCTGTGCCAGTTATGGCTCACACCTGATGCATTGAACAAAAGTGCAAAATTATAGATGAACTGTCAATGTGCATCATGTGCATTGAGGAGAGGGGGCATCACACATGAGATCTAGGGTATAACAGAAATAAAAACTCCTTTGCTCCTGTGCCAGTTATGGCTCACACCTGATGCATTGAACAAAAGTGCAAAATTGTAGATGAACTGTCAACATATAACCAGCAGTAAGCATAGAAATCTAGAAACTCTTTCCATATTGACAATGATGCATAAGTGTGGCTGTGCACCACCTTTTTCATATATATTGTACCCTGATTTGTAGTGAACTGTTTAAATATTTGTAAAATTACAAACATGATGCCCAGGTGTGGCTGGGCACCCCCAGCTTGTCTATCTATCTATCTATCTATCTTCTATCTTCTTCTTCTATACTAATAAAGTTACTAACTTCCCATCACACCTGTCCCTCCCTTTCTACATACTTTCAGCATAGGATTTTCTCCCTCCCACTGGCATATGCAAAAGTTCCCACTGATATCCATGAGATTTTCCCTGGCCCCAAGAAAAAAAAACACATGGTGGAGTGAATCTGAGGCAGAGGTCTGGGTTCAATCCCACCCCCTGGCACATTTTTTTTCTAAAATCCTTTCATATTTTTAATCATAACTTGCTCAATTTTCAAGTTATTTCAGCCAAAAAAATTTGTAAATTTGTACAAATGCATTGTGCATTCAACAAAAAATTAAAATTCAAATTGCTCCAAAACATAAAATGTTATGATGATTTCAACTTGAAAGTCGGACTTTTTTTGTTTCCAGATGTATTGACTTTAAAAAAGTGTCATTAATTCAATTTTAATTTAATTTTCAACTTTCTTGCATTATTGCAAGCGCACAGATGTTTTCTAAATCTCCTTTTTTAATTTTGAAAAATGTATACAATTGACTAAGATACAATGAAAAATACAAAAACATTTTATAAAAATCACACAAAAATCTACAAAATACAATTTGTTTTTCTACATGTAATAAATTCAATTTGGAAGAAATGTAAATGAACAAAACAGCTAAATTTGTAAACATCTTTGTGCTCAATGTCCTGCAAGAAATTTGTAGATTGCATGAAAAGAAAAAGAGTTACAGGGAGTTGAATAAAAAAAATTGGAAATGTTGTGAACAATTTTTAAACTCTAAAAATTTGTGAAACTGTGAATTATTCACAGAAAATTAATTTCTTTGCAGCAATG